AATAGTAACTACCTCAGGCCCTACGGGACTGGGTGTTACAGGTGGTATCATAGCAACCATGCGACATGACAGTGTGCTGATCCGTCGGATATCGGGCGGGAACTTAGCAGGGGAAGATTCTGGGATATGATTGAAATTGAATTGGTTTATGGGCGCAATGAGGACATTGCGATCCTAAGTGGGGGTGATTTTAACTATTGAGATTAATTTAAAAGGATTTATAATACTACTCATATCAACAACATCTCCTTTTAAGGGAACTCATCACCCAAGAACTCCAAAGTTAAGCGTGCTTGCATAGGAACTGTTTTGAGATGGGTGACCCACTGGGAAGTTTCTCAGAGCGCGCATGAGTGAGGACAAAGTGCGCGTTAAAGGCTAGTGGAGGTTTGTGAGCACAGTACTAGAGGTCCGAAGGGTGTGCAAGAGTAACTACCTCGGGCCCTACGGGGCGGGGTGTTACAGGTGGTATCGGAGCAACCCTGCGACATGACAGTGTGCCGATCCGTCGGATATCGGGCGGGAACTTAGCAGGGGAAGATTATGGGATATGATTGAAATTGAATTGGCTTAATTATGGGCGCAATGAGGATGTTGCGATCCTAAGTGAGGGGAGGGGTGATTGTAACACTTGAGATTAATTTAAAAGGATTAATAGTACTACTCATATCAACAACATCTCTTTTTAAGGGAGCTCATCATCCAAGAACTCCAAAGTTAAGCATGCTTGCATAGGAATAGTTTTGGGATGTGTGACCCACTGGGAAGTTTCTTAGGGCGCGCATGAGTGAGGACAAAGTGCGCGTTAAAGGCTAGTGGAGGTTTGTGAGGACAGTACTAGAGGTCTGAAGGGTGTGTAAGAGTAATTAACTACCTCGAGCCCTACGGGGTGGGGTGTTACAGTATTGGCTTAAGTTTATTTAGAGGATCATTTTAGTTGTTTTTCACATATATTTGTCATTATTTAATTAATAAAATATTTTTTAAATAACTTTTTTCATAATTTAGCAGAATCAACCAATCCAATCAGTTTAGTCATAATTTCATAAATTTCAACAGAATCAACCAATACAGTCGATTAGGGTATTTGATAAAACGTACGATTGACTTATAAGACTCATGAACTGATAAATAATTGGATCGATCAGATTCGACGACAATCACTATTTGTTGTTTTATCAATTTCATAAACAGATATGCATGACTTCCACTTCTGGCACCTCACCGGTCCTGCAAATCCAGGAGGAGATGGAAACCCAAAGTTGTTGAAGCCGCTGAAGTTGTTGAAGCTGACAACAAGAATTTGACAACCTACTTCCTCTTGGAGGATTTTCTTCCAGGCATAGAAAATAGGTCAACCCTATTGTACATTAATTAAGTCATACTTTTGGCCGGTATTATAGACATACCGACTTTTAGGTGTGACCAAAAAATGGAAAATTATTTTCTAACAAAAAAACTATTTATACGTAAATTGTATGCAAGTTGTATCAATTCTGTGGTGAATGTATGTAAGTTAATCAAATCCTGTGTGTGGTAAAATAATACTCCTGCTAGAAATGATATGATAGTATATCGATTGTTATAGACATCAAATAGAAATTGTGTTCGGTAAAGGAACCAATTCGAGTAGACAAATATGAACTATGTTATGGGGGGTCGAGCTGTTTAAAGACGTGGAATGATGTAGAAATGAATAGATATATCCAAAAAAAGGTGGAATCTTCCACCCCAAGAGCTTCCCACCCTGACCCGACAGGATGGTGGAGAGGTTAGTCACGGTGACTCAGTCAGCAGAATGGCAGTAGGCACATACACCCGTGCGCATCAGAGGCCCAGCCTTATTTCAGGTTCTGTGACCTCCACCCGATCACTGCGGGGATTCGAACCTTGGTCCATTGATCCAAATCTCCCACCACTCGACCAACTGAGCTACCCGTGCGGGTATGAATAGATATATCCAAGTTAATTGCATGTTTGTGTATTTTAAAATCCAAGTTGTGTTTTAAACATGGCTTCTTTAATACTCCCTCCGTTCCCAAAAATACTTCTCACTTTCCTTTTTGGGCTGTTCTCAAAAATACTTTCCACTTTCCCATTTCGGACAATTTGTGTGGCTCACATTCATTTTACCTTTTTCTTACACAACCACAACCATACATTTCCACATTATTCCACTTTCTTAATAAGCGTGCCAAGTCAAACCGGGAAGAATTTTTAGAAACGGAGGGAGTAACAACACGTAGCTAAAGCATCCATTTACAAAAAATATCAAATGTACAACTAAAAGATATGATTGCCTGAGTCCCTGAGATTACCTGAAACTCTGCAGCATTACAAAGTTATAATGACTATATATGGAGGGCTGGTCCCGTTTAATTTTAGATCTACGGACCATATAGCATGTTGGACTTACTTCCGAGACAAATGGTAAATTAAGAATTACTCCCTCCGTTCCTATTAAAACTTCTAACTTTCCTTTTTCGTATGTTCCAATTAAAACTTCCACTTTCCTTTTTTAGTAAAGAATTTGTGGTTCACAACATTTCTTACACATTTCTCTCTCCTCTGTACAACTCTCCACCACACAATACCCACTATCTTAAATTGTGTGTCAAACCTATTTGGAAGATAAAATAGGAACAGAGGGAGTACAATAAAACTGTACAGTACCGGATTGGAAAAAAGGGTTTCGAATAGATCCATAAATTTTTATCCTAAACAGTACGCTACCGATTCCAAATTATGTCGAACCAAACCAGAGCGAAGTATAGGTTCAGCATAATTCGTACATGTTCAAAAAATTCCATCGGGAATCACATCAAATGACGACGGCCGGACAGAGTCTCCTATATAAGGGCTTATTTGACCTTTTTATAATTTTATGTAAGTTTGAGAGCCTATTTAACTCTTTTTCACTTAAAATTTTGATATAAAAAAACAAGAATTTCCCCAACTACTATCGAGCCTGTTAGCAAGAAAATTGAAAACTACTACGTCTTTGTTCGGAACCATAAAGGCATTCTAACATTTGAGATTAAACCTTACTATGGCCTGACCATTCACGGTTACGATTGAGAACCAATAGAGGTCTGAAATAGGCTTCCTTTATTTGTGCATTTAGAAATTAGTTTAGTCCTATTTTGGGGCTATTTCTCAAATATATATTAGTCGTAGAATAAATGTAAGAAAAGGAAAAACAAAATAAATAAGTGTAAGTAAAAACAAAATAAAGTAAAAAGTTAGTACGGTGAGAAAAAGATCTTTTATAAGTAAACTATTCCGAATAATATATAAAAATGAAATAATAAACGGGAAGAAGAAAAAGAAATAAAAATGGAATACATAAACATTGAAAAAAAATTTAAAAAAAAATTGAAAAGTAATAAAAATAAGAATAAAAAGACCAAAGAGGGGAATAAAAGAGTCAAGACAATATAAATAAAAAGGAAAAGTTTTAGGAAGAAAAAAGAAAAATGATATGTGGGACCGCTTGGAGGAGATTTGTAAAATATGAGATTTATGGTTGAATTATTTGCAAAGAAAATGAAAAAACCAGGAATAGCAGGTCATCAACCGATTAGGGACTAGCGAATGAAGATGAGGTGCAAAAGTTGGATTAGTCATGAATAACGATAAGGCTGTATTATTGTAAGAAAACCGCTAAAAGGTTGAATTATTAATTTCCATTTTCCCTAAAAAAATTCAAAACACCCTTTAAAGCATATAAGAGGCACTTATATAGTTATATACTATAGGGAGTACGTACTTAGAGCAACCGCAATGCGGTAGTGTTTAGTCTAGGAATTGTGCACCTCGTCAATCATTTACACACTATGTACTTATTTTTGTTTCCAATGCAGGTAGTCCCACGTTCTAGTGTTAGTGAGCTCGCAAAAAAAATCAGACGGTGTGAAGAGCCCTGTTCAAGTGTAGAAAGCCTAATTAACTTGCTGATTCAAACAAATTACATCCCAAATTAGCGCCATTCCTAGAAAATCTGGAGGGAACCTGCAAACAGCTTTGGAGTTTGCCGATTATCAGAACCGTTCTTTAACACAATATTTCTCCAAATCATCCAAAGCTTTGGATCTGGTGAAATCGTAAAGCGGTACATCAAAAGTTTATTTTTCTCGTTACACTTTGATGAAATACTGATTCCGAGTGTTAGATTTGTAATTTTTTGACAAGTTAGTAGATTTGTTTGTGTCGATTACTTGAAAACAGATTTGGATTTCGTTAATTACTCATTTGTAATTTCGTAGATAATAATTCCTTCATTTTATAAGCAATATATATATATATATATATATATATATATATATATATATATATATATATATATATATATATATATATATATATATATATATATGAACGTGCTGTTGTAATTAATATGATTTTTTTGGTTTCACGTTTTGTAAATAAACCGTCTGAATCTTTTGTTTCTTTCAATGATGTGTTTTTTTTTAATTAATCAATTGAATGCGATTAAATTGAATTCTAAAAGTATGATTTTTATGTTTTCTTTATATAATTGTAATACGTAGCATCTAAACGGGAAGTGGCTCCATTTACTTGCAAGAGAGCAATCATTTATAAAAGCCTCAATGACATATGTAGACTTTCACTTGCTAGTTAATTGGATAACTAGCTTACAACACAATAGAAACGGGAGAGCAAACAAAAAATAAGCTAAATCCTGCAACTAATTTGACTACTAATTTATTTGTGTTGATTGATTCTAGGTATGTCTCTATTTAAGTAAGAAAATAGAATCAATTGAGTAAATAAGTGGTGTTGTTGGTGGGATAATATATTAATTTTACCTCAAAGAATTTGACTTGTTGATTCTAGTTATGTGTCTTTGAATTTAGATATATCTAAGTTGAGATGCTGTTTGCATAATATTAGTTTTACCGCTTATGAATTTGATTTTAAAGATTGATGTTTGTATCTAAGCATGCTTTCATTCCTTTAGTATGTTTTCATTTCATCTATAACACCAAAATAAAATCATTTTTTTGGACCAAATTGAATATGGAGTATGAGCTAACTATGACGATTTAGCTTCTAGTTCCTTTTAAAAAAATCTTTCTAGTTCTATACAAAAGAAAGTAAAGGAGAATCACTAATTAACATTTCTTATAACAAGAACACCGAAGCATAAACATTTGAAGTAACCGAAAACTAAAAAATCTAATATTATCTGCAGTAAATAAATAGGAACATAAACAATTTAGAAAATCGGGCATCCATCTACTTGTATTCCACGCGCGGTAGGGCAAGTGGCTAACTCGCAATGCTCACCCTGGCTTCCCCACCAATTTACGCTCACATTCTCGATCTCCAGGCAAAAGTACAAAATCACCGCCATGAAAGCCAACCCGGCATCCATCGCCGCGGACAGGACGTAGTTGTACCTCTGCCACCACTTCCTTCTGTACCGGAAGATGAAGAAATTGAAGATCGTCCCGACAACGATCCAGCTGTTGAAGTTCAAGGAAGTCGCCGGCGGCATGGCGGCTGTTGCCGATAAGAGCACCGGCAGGTTTATGAGACTGATCCAGCGTTTCGATGGGAAGCCTCTCTGGAAGAGCCATACCAACAGGGGGCCCATCGCACCGAGCAGGAAGCCCCAGTTGAGAGCGCCGTAACGGCCCAATGACCCAAATATTCGTTTTGGGCCTACTAAGCCCCATATTACGGAAGCGTCGAAGAATACCCGGTCGTTAGGACAGGTCCAGGGGCTGTTTGGGGGGAGCAAATTGTCTTGGCATATGTTGGGGATTGATGTCAATAGCCCCCAGGCCACCCCAATATTTATCGTGCCAGCTACAACTGTTCCTACAAGCTATATAGGTACATACATCAACCATATTCCATTCCATGTTTTTACAAATAAATTACTGAAAAAAATTATTTATAAAAAATATTATAAAATAATTATGAGAATAATATCATGGTGTTAGAATTAAACATAAGTTACCACGACTAAAGTTGCTATCATAGTTTCTATATTTTTGTAAAAATCTTTTATTGTAATCATAAATTTCTAATTATTTAAATTCAAACTTTCACAACTAATAAAAACATATTTAGTGTATTTCATTTATTATAATCTAGTTTTTGTTTAAATGATTAAGATATAAAAAACAAAATGGTAAATCATGGATCTTTTTAAAATTTAATTATTTGTGAGCTGGAAGAATAAGCCTATTAAGATTTTATTCATTCATGTAATAAGTAGAGCAGCCCTACTTCTTGTACACTCTTTTTTGTACACGCCTTATACACACATGTGAACATGTCATTCTTTTGTCTATGAATAACCTGTTAATACACAAAACATTTTTTCTTTGTGAAGAGGTTATTCATAGAAAAAATAGCCTGCTTACATGTGAGAATAAAATGTACAAAAAAGTGTGTAGAAACAGTTTTTTTAGTACAATAGTACATAACTCCTCCTCATCATCATCATCACCCCGGTGGGTTAAGAGGGGTCAGATGTACGCAGTTTTACTCATGTACTAAAGTAGAAAGAGACTGTTTCGAAAATTGCATCAACTGACTGCTGCTTCGTATCAAAGAAGTGCAGACAGTTTAGTAAGATAAAAAATAGTGAGTCTTTAGCGCCATTGCAAATGATGGAAATGCAGTAGTGTATAACTATAGAAAGATAATACTGGAAAAGATGAAGTACCTGAACAATGAACATTGATCTGGGAGGAATCTTCATGTAATGTCCTAATTTGAAATCGTTCAAGAAAGAAACTGCTTGACTCATGCTTATATACCCAAATGTTTTGAAACAAACGTTGGCTATTGGTTTCCCAGGCATCAGAAGACCCAATATGTATTCCGTAATCACGTTTAGTCCTGGTGTCTGACATACATATTTTCAAATAACATTTTAGATTTCAAGTAATAAAATTTAGAGGACATTGTAAGTTTAGATTCGTAATTAATTATGTCTGCTGTCATTACTCACTTGCATATATGAAACAAAAAATGTGTCCATGTTAAGGGATATTCTACTACGGAATAGAATGTAGGTGAGACAGCTTTACAGAAAATAATAATAATAATAATAACATTAACTGCAAATAACCATATGAAAAGCTTTTCGGGTGAAAAAGTTTATTATGTACATAACATTAACTGCAAATAAGTAAAGTTATAGGATCAATAATATGCACAAACAAAAGTTAAAGGGCAAATTAGCAAATCTTGCTAAAGTTAATAACATTAAAGCTTCTACCAGAGCACTTGTGTCCAGGAATCCTTGAATTTAGTATGCAGGTGACAGTTATAAGTTTTACTTGAGAATCAACTCTGTAATAAGTTTGCTCAAATTTAGTCATTTAAACATGCTTTTTCTGGCAAAAGGCATCATAAAAATGTTGTCATTGACATGAAGTTTTCCTTTGGGAAAAGTAAACTCCGTTGTAAAAATCTTAATGCGGATAAACTTATTAGTTACAAGGCATGCTCTAAAAATGAATGTCGCAAGAGGGTTCTAAAGTGTTCAAAAACAATTGCAAGATCAAAGCAATAATTTTCCTAACTCATGGCACTTGATTACCTGGTTTGTAGTGGCTGTAATGACACTAATGGGAAGGGTGAATAAACAGGCAACAGCAACAGCAAGAAGCAGACCCCACCAAGGCAACTGAATCTCATTCTTCATGAAGATACACATGAAAAGTGAGAGAGCCAATGAGAGCGCAAGCGTCACGTAAAACCACCAAGCCGGAATGTCCTTATATTTCTTCATAAGCCTCGTGTGGATATCATCTTTCCCTTTGTGTGAGGACTTGAACCTATTATACATATCCCTATATGCAACCACCAGACTTTAGCTTTAACTTTGCACGGTGCTTTTTTGAACAAGCAAAGTAATAAAGTAAAAATTATATAGTTGAGATTTGCGCAGAAGAAAGAGAAATAACGAGCAAAGCAAAAAAGATAAAGAAGAAGAGAACTAACCTTCCATTGAAGAGAGCAACGTGGGTGAGGGTGGCAATGACGGAGGCAAAGTTGAGACCATACGACAACGCAAAGAAGATGCTGAGGCTGATACGTCCTTGTCGAGCGTACGCCGTCTTGTCAAGCTCGAACCTTTCATTAACAATGGAAGAAACGTTGTAGACTTGGCCTTGGTTGTTGAACAAGTGGGAGGAGAACAGAGGGTAGGTTTGAGCGCTGTAGAGGTTCAACCCCCAGTAAGCGATGGGGATGATGACGTAGATGACGGCGATGTAGCCAACGGTGATGTTGGCGATGGCAAAGAAGGGGGTGACGAGTGGGCTGGTGAGGTACGAAGCAATGACGGACCAGTCAAAGGTGAAGGAGAAAATGCCCAGACCTTTCATGCCCGACCCGATTTGTTGGGCGATCACTGACTTGGGGTATATCAGACATAGCAGGGAGATGTTTGATATGGTTGGGAAGAGAAAGCCTGGGACAATGTACCATATTGCCCCGCATAGCATTGCTATCAAGAAGAATTTCCCCTTTGTCATTGACCTTGTGTTCTCTTCTTTCTCATGGAGTGCCCTGCATGTACAAATATGTTCATTCATTTAATTAACACACAAGATTATTTGAACTCATATTAATAATAACCTGGGAGATTTACAATTTTTGTTTCATAATTTTGTTATAATCGTTTTTAAACTTGTACTTTACTCAGTTACACGTTTGATCCAGTAACTAATAAACTTAATTGGGACTATTCTAGTGAAAAACATATTTTCACAGAGTGGAAAGTTTATCACCGGAGACGACTTTTCTTTTGGGAAAGGCTAAAGGGTCAAATAGGTCCATGTACTCATATCAATAGCTCAATTGGGTATCCGAACTAAAAAAAGGTCCAATCCAATCCTCCAACTCTTCAAAATCGTTCAATTTTTTCGTTTTTTCAAAGGCTAAAGGGTCAAATAGGTCCCTGTACTCATATCAATAGCTCAATTGAGTACCGGGAGTTTACCGGCTAAACGAAAAAATTGAACGATTTTGAAGAGTTGGAGGATTGGATTGGACCTTTTTTTAGTTCGGGTACCCAATTGAGCTATTGATATGAGTACAGGGACCTATTTGACCCTTTAGCCTTTGGGAAATACTACGTAATACAATACAATGCAAATGTCCTTGATGTGAGAAAATCTATTAGTTAACGAGTATATTACTGAATCTCTAAGTGTCTCATTACAAAACTAAAATAAACACATGCATGAATTATGGAATCATATTTATCATTTCTCTTAATAAACCATATACTTCATTTAGGGAATACAATAAAAATTGCTAAAGATTGTTCCGACTTTAGGAATTTCAATCGTCTTTCCCATTCTCTCTGTTCACTATTGTTCCACCCATTCCGATTGAGTGAAATCAAACTCGATCCAAAAATTGTCATATATTCATTGATCCAAAAAAGGTGGAATCTTCCACCCCACGAGCCCCCACCCGACCCGGCAGGATGGTAGAGAGATTTCAGGGTGACTCACTCAGCAGAATGTCAGTGGGCCCATACACCCGTGCGCACCAGAGGCCCATCCTTATTTCAGGTTCTGTGACCTCCGCCCGGTCGCTACGGGCATTCGAACCTTGGTCCATTGATCCAAATCTCCCACCACTCGACCAACTGAGCTACCCGTGCGGGTATTTTCATGTACTCATATACGTAGTAATGTAGTATGACTTTGGTCAAACGTGTGAGAATTTGATCAATGTTTTTAGTCAATCCTCCTATTGTTTGGTTAGTTTGATAGATTTGACAAACAAGCAGAACTATCTGATTAGAATTTTCTAGAAGAGCGAGATAATAAACACCAAATTACTTACTTTAATAGGAAATTATTAAGGTTTCATAGCAACAAACAAAGACCGGAAAATATAATTAGACAAATATAGTACGGAGTACATTTCAGTGAAAAGTATATACTCCTATATTTTAGAAGACCGTGTTTACATTACTTTATTGTAGTCCACTAGTACTCCGTATATAATATGGAGTATTGTATATTTGTATAAAACTATATCATTAAACATAGATAAACAATTTTTATGAAAAAAGTCAGTCAGTTTTTGTGGAATATAGGCAGTATTTAAACGGAGTACTTCGTAGAGATTAACAAGGTATGCATGATAAGTGAATATGATATGAAGAACGTGGTGGCAGATTTGAATTTCAGGTTTTGAATTGAAGTGTGTGATGAGTTTTAAGGTTTCAGCAACAGCAATTGATGGTGAAATTACTACTTGTCCTCAAAGTCACATTTTTTTCTTGAAATGTGGACGTGTAGATGGATGTGGATGGGAGTGTGAGGTAGAGATCTCACTTTTAGGGGGGGAAATCTGAAACTGATTTAATAAATTTAATTTGGTAAAAGTTGATTTTATGTACATGAGATCGAATTGTGTTTTAAAATAAAGCAATTGACTTAAATAGGAATTTTTTAGGGAAAGTTCCCGAAATGGGACTAAAACAGTTTCAAAATTCCAAAATAGGACTGTCATGTTTTTTAAATCCAAAATATGATTAATTATTTTCATGTTTAGAAAATACTGCCATGTTTGAAGTCTGGTAGTGACAAAACATGACAGTAATTAGTCCTATTTTGGAAAGAAAAACATGTCAGTCTTATTTTGGAATTTTTAAACTTTTTGTCCTATTTCGGATAATATCTCTAAAAAATATTAGATTTCAACTACGGCGTATATTTTTATCGGAGGACTTATATTTTTATTACTACTATTATCTAAACAAGAATAATACTTTCATGTTTGAAAAATACTTCTAAATGTGCATGACAATATAGTGTCACATTTCTAGTAATGTCAAAACACGGTAAATTTTTTTGTAAAGCACTCCTAATTAGAGAACAATACAATATTTCTATTTTCGAATTTTATACTATTTTACTCATATTTTAGAACATTTCGTTAAAATAAACCCTCAAATGTCAATGGAGCAAGCTAACTACATTTTGAGAATAAATCAAAATTACTCTTTTATATATATGTATGTGTGTGTGTGCGCGCACACACACACTACCTCCGTCCCAAAAAGGTTCGCCAATTTGACTTTTCTTGGTCAATGATGGTAAACTTTGGACAATGATTTTAAGTATTATATTTATTTATAATTTATAAAATTTATACTTTTATGAAAATATTTTGAATAAGGAATATTTTCATATAATTTTCATATTCTAAATAATTTCATATTAAAAAATATCATTGGTCAAAATTGATTGTGATTGACCAAGAAAAGATAATTTGGTAAATCTTTTTGAGACGGAGGGAGTATATATATATATATATATATATATATATATATATATATATATATATATATATATATATATATATATATATATATATATATATATATATATATATATATACACACACACACACTTTGTCTATGTTATATTCCCATTTGGAATTATTTTAATTTGAAATCATTATATAAATATGAAGTAATTTGAGTTCTAAGGAAGTTTATTTGTGTTCAAGCATCAAAACTTTAAAATAGAAAACTAAAGTGCCCATTAATAGTTTTGGCTTTCTGTAGTGAATACCGAGGGCCTCATGGTGAAGAGTCTCACCATCTTAAAGATTAAATAGTTTTTTTTGTGATTAATTAGTTAATTAATTACCTGAAAAGAGAGACTTGCACCAAACTTTGGGGCCACCACATCTCACCCGGATCGATCACATACTTTCTCATTATTCCTGCCCATCCATATCCTAAAACCTGTACATTTTTTCTTGTACATCATGTCAATGTCATTAGTCTACATACAGGTTCATGAAAAAATTACATTCTTTCGATGGGAGAAATGAAACAAGATTGCCTAATTATAGAAAAAATTATGGTTAAAATATTAAACAATAATGTTTTTCGATACCACAGTTGAAGGAATGTAATTTTTTCAACCACAAAAAACTAGAAAAAAGGTTAAGGGTAACAAACAATGTATAAAAAATACATTGTATAAATTATTATATCAATTATATACATGTATTTTTACATCTTATTTTCAAAATTTTGGGTGTTCGCCTGAACACCCTTGAACAGTAGCACATCCGCCAGTGCCTACATAGTACATACTATCATCATGCTTTAAAATTTAAACCATAAAAAATACTTCTTCCATCCCATTTAAAGGTTCCCGTCCACTGCATTGTTCTTAATCTTTTACTTTATATATCCAACGTTTATCAAATGTAAATTTTCTTGATCAAACTTTGTGGCAGTTTTAATGTAGTTTCTGAATATGTAAAATTTATTTACTAAAAATAATTCTACTAATGACAGGGATCAATTAACTTTATGATCAGTCAAACGTCGTAAATCGCGTGAGAACGTTTAAATGGGACGTAAGGAGTATCAACTTTTGACAAAAACTTGAATATTACACTATAATTATAGAGAATAGTGATATTTTATGCTTCTTATTAAATTGATAAAGTTTGGAAAACGTAAAAATCAAATTTCACTATCTAAAAATGAAATGATGTAGTTAGAATGCTTTTACTTGGACCGAAATTTTCTGATTTGATTTGGTCTGAACTTGTTTGGACTCTATATATTTTATAATTATCCAAATCTGATTTAGTCTGTTTTGATATAATTTGGGATTGACAAGAATCTAAGTAAAAATATCCTTATCGATGAATTGATGGGATTCAAAGTGTTGGTAATCTAAGAGCCCGTTTGGTAGCACGAAAATCGGCTGATTTGGCTGATTCTGCTGAAAGTTATGAAGTTCTGGCTGAAGTGGCTGCATTGGCTGATTCTGCTGATTTAATAAAAAAAATAAAATATACTACCTCCGTCCCAAAACTAACTTCCCATTTCGGATTACGATGCTTGATCGACGATAAAGCAACCTGATCCCTGTTCATACTCAAATTACTTTTAGTAAATAAAATTTACATATTGAGAAACTACATTAAAACTGCTACAAAGGCTGATAAAAATATATAAATTTGATAAAAATTTGATATAGAAAACATAAGATTAAGAGTACTTTAAGTTGACCATGTGAATAGTGACTATGAAGTTCATTTTGGGACGGAGGGATTATTTTATTAATAAAATAAAGAAAAAATTATATGTAAAAATAGCTAAAATGGTCATCTACAGTAACTTCAGACAATACAGCTAGAAAAGTAATTTCAACCTTACTTTTTCCGCTTATTACAAAATTTAGCGCGCGAAAGTAAAAGTTACGTGTTTGGTGAAAAAGTTGAGTGATAAGCCTGATAAGTCGAAAAACCGTGTTGCCAAACGGTCTCTAAATGATACTCCGCAATGAAGTTTATACTCCGTATTTCATTATTTTGTGTGTGACAATAATAATGACTCTATTTAAGAGAAAGTATGCTCTTACCATTAGTATAACATGATTATTCAAAAAGTGATTTTATGGGAGTATTTTATATTCGTAATTACTTTAGTAACGCTCAACCGTATATGTGGTAATTAATTCTATCCGCATTTCTAGAGAGCATATCAAGGAAAGTTCGTAAATTAATGAATTGCCTTAAATTTCTTCATTTTTCTGCGTGAATTCTTTAATGCCGATAAGATAATGGTTTTTAGCGCTTTTTAGATGTGTAAGGCTTATAATTTGACATGTTTCCATAACTATCTTGTGAGTGAGTACTTCAAATCAAATACTCCCTCCTGTGTCCCATTAGAAGAATCCAATTTCTTGACTGATGATAAAACAACTTAATCCCTTATCATACTCAGATTATTTTTAGTAAATAAAATTTACATATTAGACAATACATTAAAATCGCTACAAAACCTGAAAAAAATGTAAATTTGATAAAAATTTGATATATAAAACAAAATGATTAAGAAGATTTAAGTTCACCATGTAAATAGTGGACGGGAACCTTTGAGTAGGATAAGGGAGTACAAATTTTCATTATCCTGTGATCCTACTGATTCAATTATTCAACGCTATCTCCAATTATTTCAATAAAAAGAATTCAAAATTGGTTGACCGTGTAATTTTGTGTTTGACAAACAAACTTGAAAAACTGCAAAATTTATTAGTCAAAGTCGTTTTAAGTCACATCCACTACACCAGCTAAATTGCCCTAAAAGATAATCGTCTGTCAAAGTGTGTAACCCACTCCAAAAGTTATTTTTCCTGATCAACGCTTACAGCCGTTTTATATACGGAGTATTTACTACGGAGTATGATTTGCTCCGTGTGTTTAATTATGTATACATATAATGAATATATAGAATATGATTTTAAAAATATTAGACAAATTAGTTGGAAAAAAAAATGTTACACAAACTTAGAATCTTCAACAAAAATCGAAATACTACGTACTCGTATATTAAGGGGGTGTTTGAAACTAATTCTGATTCTGTTTCTTTTTTAAAGAAGAAGCAGAATCAGAATCAGTATTCAGAAGCTGGTCAACCCCAGTTAAAAAAAACACCACCAGTTAAAAAAAAACGATTCTAGCAGAAGGAGTTTTAAAAATCAAATCAAAACACCGAGATTATTAGTTACTCCGTATGAAACCGATGAATATGCGATTCTTATGCGGGGGAAAGAACTTGTGAATAGTTGACTAGTCTGAATGCAAAAGAAAAACGAATGGCAGACACTAAATGTGAACACACGATGGCATTGCTGTACTCAGGAACAATTAGAGTTGACCTTACAAATGATTTTTTCTAATAATATCTTGGATAATATTTTTACACAAAACGTGGAGTTTCTTTCATTTGTGGTAAGAAATATTTGAAAAGAGTTTTATTAACTTTTCAGTAACCGTTAGTTTTTGATGAATGAAAACTGATTAATACTAGAAGTTACTGACTTATTTGAAATCTACTCATCGTAGCATATCAAAAAAATCTTTTATTTTTATAAAAAATTCTTAAAAATTAGAATGTCAAACATACAATTAGAAGCTTTTAAAGGCTTTTTAAATAGTACAAAAGTCAGAAAGTGGAGACTTATGTCTGTCAAACATAGTAAACCTTACGAGAAACCAATAAATCAATAAATAACTAATACTTCGTACTACGTAATAAGGTTAAATAACTCCAAGTAATAATATCTCCCAACAAATATGCCTTAATAATTGGTAAAACAAAATGAAAGAATATGAATTCTTGAAAATGACTTGGCATGAATATTAAGAAAGCGGAATAATGGAAATGTATGGTTGTGGGTGTGTAAGAAAAAATGAAATGAATGTTAACTACACAAATTATTAAAAAAATTAAGTGTGAAGAATTTTTTGGAACGATCTAAAAGGAAAATGGGAATAATTTTCCGGGACGGGGGAGTACCTGGGTATGAATTATGAAGTAGAATAAGAGGAAAAACCTGGGTAGTGATCACAAGAATCCATCCCGTCAAGAACGAGATGTTCCTCATATAAAAAGCCTTAATTATATCCACGATCCCAACCGCATAAGCGGATCCGCTTCCGAAGGCGGACCCGGCATTCGCAAATATGGATATGAGAACGTGCTCCTTCATGTTAAACGGGCCCGGGTTCAGCGAGAACTCCCACGACCCGACCCGGAAGGTCCTCTCGGGCAGCACCTTGGCCATGAACCGCCCGACGGGCAGGGTGGCGACCTGGACAGAGATCATGCTGATGATGAGCGGTTCGGTCCGGTACCCGAAGAAGGTGTTCAAGAAGGAGAGGAGCGCGCAGGAGAGGATCCCGAGGGTCCACATCCGGAAGGTCCAGACCGGGAGGGTCGGGTCATCGTGGGTCGAGACGGTGAGCCGGACCTGCTCGACCGGCGAGTCGTCGTCTTCTTCTCCGTCGCCATCCCGCCGGCTGCCTTCCGGGTCTCTTTCTATGGACAGAACCATTGTAACGCAAATCGTGCTGGAGTTAGAGTTCTGGTTTATAAGAAATTAAAGATATATACGGGGAGGAGGCCGAGATTTGTGGATTGGACGAGGATTTCGAATCAGAGTGGAATATTATACGCAGTAAAGGAAATGATGGAATGATTCATTCTGTATGGGGAGTAGCATGTAGTCTACATGCACACAAAACTTGAATCATCGGCTAATGGATCTGAATCATTGTCGATTTTTCCTCCGCTAAACTCCTTATATAGTTTGGTTGTAATCATTTAGGATACATATTTCTTTGCTTTAAATAGTTTTAGCTTCGTATCGGATGATACCACACCCAACTTACTTAAATACGGTACAAGATTTAAATGAAATTTCAAATCTACACGTTTTTTAGTAATGTGAATAAAAATGGTTTGTCGGGCCAGGGTGTAGGGAGTACAGACGTATCACCTGAGGGGCGGACGATTCCACCTTTTGTATTGTGAATAAAAACAGTTAACCATTAATTGCAAAATGCGTTTTTGCAATTAATGTGTATATTTAGGATGTTTTTACAAATAAATAGACATTCAACAGGTAGGACCACATCAAATCGGACCAACCCAAAAAAATTCAATCCATGAAAAACATCCTTAAATTAGTGTCGTTCACAACTTTATTTTATTACCCGTGTAGCCATTTCTAAATATTTTTTAAAAATTCATATATAATACAAAAAATAAAAAATTACCCTGGGCCAGGGACCAGCCTGGCCCATCCCTCCCTCCTCCCCTTGTCATCCCTTCCGTCTCAGGCCTCTTTCTTTCCCTTGCATCGCCCTACATCTACTCGATGCTCTCTCACTAAAGAAGCTAAATAAAAACCAAACAACGACAACGTAGCGCAGCTCCAAAGCCCTAGCCAACAGCCTAGTGCAGCTCCAAACATGAAGGTATTCACTTCCGTTTGTGTCTTTTAGACTCGAGCTTTTAATTTCTAAGTTTTCCTCAAATAAACAATTTAAACGTGAACCTTAATTTATTCTTTTTTTTTTTTTGCAAAATCATAGGTGCAACTAGACCTGAGCACGGATCGGGTTCCGTCGGGTCGGGTCTGCGGACCCTTAACCCATTTGGGTTTTTTTTAATTTAAATACTAGGCCCGATCCCTTGATATTTTAAATCGGATATTTTGGATATTTTTAAGTCGGATAGTATCGGATATCGGATCGGGTTTCAGATATTTCGATTATATTAAAACACATTATAATTGGATAATTAAAATGTTGGAATGTCACTTTGACAAAAATTGTACACACTAGTGCACTACACATTCAAATTACACAAATAATTTAACACAAATTACACAAATAATTGAACACAAGTATTTATTTAACATATTCAAAGTACACACTACATAATTTAATATATTTCAGATATTTCGGTTATATTAAAACACATAATAATTAAATAATTAAAGCGTTGGAATGTCACTTTGACAAAAATTGTACACACTAGTGCAATATACATTCAAATTACTCAAATAATTTAACATAAATTGCACAAATAATTTCACAAATAATTGAATAGAAGTATTAATTTAACATATTCAAAGTACACACTACATTTTTTCCCCTGTTTAATACCACACTAGGTGGGGGGTGCCGGGGAACACCTCCCTAATTTATTAAAATAAAGTTTTGAGTACACGGAATTGAAATTACAAGTAGAACATAAGAGAAGTGAAAGAAAATAGCAAACTACATCAACAATTGAAATTTTGTGAGGGGATTCCAATTGAAGCTGAAAGAGATCTATTGTATCTGTTATGAAATCTAATGACCCTCTTAAGATAAGGCATGTAACTCGTTTCCTCCGGATGAGTCAATTTGAAGTGTTGAAGAGCTGCCTGTAGTTTGTGTGGTGAGTCGAACCTCTGATCAACTGGGTAAAGATGGTAGTCTGTTTCGTTTTGAGGTTTTCTTGAGTGGCTCCTGGTGATCATGGGGTGAGATGAATATCCCACCTCTTAGAATAGTTGTACATCTTTTGCCTCTTCTTCTTTGTTCCTGAGTAAATCCTTCAAAGTACACACTACGTAATTTAATATATTTCGGATATTTCGGGCGGGTCGGGTTGAGATTTTAAAAACCCTACCCGCCACCCGGTCTAGGCCCATTATTAATCGGATTTTTCGGTTTCAAGTTTTCGGGTCGGATATCCGTATCCAATCGGATATTATCCGCAAAAAACTTCGGGTTTTGCCGGTCGGTTCGGGTTTTGCTCAGCCCTAGGTGCAACATCACCTATCTTTCATTCACAATCAACCGAGGTTGTGAAATCCGCAATAAATCATACAAAATGTGTAGCGATAAAATAAGATCATCAATGGAAACAGAGTGAACACCAAAAGGTAAAGTATGGCTTAGGCCGGCCAATGTCATGCTAGCCACGTGAACGCCCTAATGCGGTTCGGAACTCTAAGCTTCGACAATTTAGCCTAGCCAATATCATGCGAAGCGAGACTATTTTACATAGTGAGTTCGTAGGCAGAATAGTGGGGTGCCAAAAGCTTTCGTCTTCAGCAAAGTGTTGGTGAGAGTATATAGCTCCAATGTTCTCCTAATATATATCATTCAAAAGCAAATTATCCACGACCCCGCGCTTCCAACATTTGCCCACATTCCACATACTCCCTCCGTCCCGAAAAGGTTGGTCAAAGTTGACTTTCACGTGGATTAATAAAGTAAAAACTGTGTGGTTGAAATTTGTGAAGAGGGGAGAGAATTAATTTTAGCCACATATTCCTTACTTTTAATGGAAATGACAAATCTTTTTGGGACATCCAAAAAACGAAATTTGGTCAAACTTTTCGGGACGGAGGGAGTATTAGCCACCATCTCTCGATGTATATCATATTGTTTATTCATAGGGACATTATCTTTCAGAGATGTATTACCCTACCAGACGTCATGCCAGAATCTTGTCTTTCCACCGTTCCCACTAATCTTGTGGATACCTTGCTGAAGCATAAGTTTAGCTACGCAAATGCCCTTCCAAACATTAGAGGCACTTGTTCTTGAAGCAACGTAACACTGTTGATCCCCTATTTCCCATATGCATACTTTGCCATAATTACTTGTATCTCATATCAACTTTTTTCTCCAAACACATAACTTTTTCTCTAAACACGTAAATTTTATTGAAGTTACTTTTCTCGTTGTATTGGCTGAAATTACTGTAGAGGATCGTATTAACTATTTTTCATGTAATTTTTTCTTTACTTTATTAATAACAATATTTTAAGTATAATTTTTTCATAACTCAGCTGATTCAGCCAATCTAGCTATTCCAGCTAGAACTTCATAAATTTCAACAGAAATTAGTTGATTCAGCTGATTTCAGTGTTACCAAACGGATTCTAAATTGTAGTTGTTTAAACTTTTTAGAATTAGAATTGCAGACTTGTGGAGTCCTGGTACGAATTACATAGTATGCATGTATGATAGGTTTTATCTTTTATAATTATTACTCCGTATTAGAAGTTAGAAGAAGAAAAACGGAGTGAATAAAATGGAGTGACCGAAGAAGAAAAAAGTAGAAAAATGGAATGGATGCAGAGGAGTATGGCTGTTTTGCTTCCGTTACAAAAAAAAATCAATCCAATTGGAAATTAGAAAGAAGCAACCACGTGGCAGCAAGAAATGAGAGGAGAAAATTGTGGCCAAAGTAACACATAAGATTAATGAAGGGTGTAATTGTGTTTTGAAGAGCTATTTGTTTTCTTATATATAATAAATAGATAAATAGATTATTACTTCGTATTAGAAGTTAAAAGAAGAAAAATGAAGTTTGGAGACTTCTAAACTTAAGTTGGGTAATGTACATCCATTCTCAAGACCTACAATGATTAGGAGCATTGTTATATTTTATTTGACCCGATAAAATAAAATATAATTAAAATTGTTCGAGAAATACAACTTTTGGGATCGATTGTACAATTTTGAACTTAAAGGCCGGGGTGACCTCCCACATGAGTGGGGGCCAACCCACGAATTTAGTCACACAAGATAAGGGTTGGAAGGCCGGAAGGAGAAGAGGAAGATGTGGGTGTTGGGGTTGAATTGAAAAGCATCTAAGGTACATGAGGTGGACTCCTCATCACACACTCATTGGGAAAATGAGACAAAAAGGCTATTCCTACTCCATCTCTCTCATTTTTCGGCCAAACACTCTCAAGACAAGGGAAAAGAGCCCTGCAACTATTTCCTCCATAGCCAAGAACAATATAAGCAAGAAGGGTCTCAAAGGAAGAGTTTAAGTTGCTGAAAGTGTGGAAAAGCTTGAGAAATTAAGGTAATGGCTTCATTAACCTTTTCTTCTCTTTTTCTTGAATATATGATTATTTGAGAATGTTATGAAGAAACCTAGAATTATTCTACATGTTGATATGTGTAGAATAAGAGGTTGGAAGGTAGTTCTAAGTCTAAGAACGGACTTAGAAGCCAAAATGACCGGTTCGCCGGAAAATAACCTTTTAGATGTTATTTGTGTATGGGTTTTGTGATGATAAAACCTTGTTAGGAGCTTGACGAAAGTGTTCCTAGTTGTCGCCGGAGTTCGCCGGAGTTCGCCGGAGTTCCGCCGGAGTTCAACCAAGAAGAGTAGAACTTTTTAAAGTTGATTCGAGGTGAGGATGACCAACTATATTGCGTATAACTAGTGACTTAATTTCATAAGATTACCTAGAGTATTAAATGTGATTTTCATGGATTATTAATGATTAATAATGCCTAAATGAAAATACCATTGCATATGAGTAAATGAAGCATGATATACAAATTTAGAAGAAAATGTGTATGATTGTGTATTATGAAATGATAGCATGATAATGAAATAAATTGTGAAATATTGTGATATAATACACTTTTACTTCATGTAGAGAATTCATGAATGGATAAAAGTGATATTTTTTATATTAAGATTAAATCATATTTGATTTGGAAAGTCGATTGAGATGAATAATATGATTATGAATTTGAACTTGGTTGTTCTAAGATTAATTGGTTAGTGATGAAATACTAGCCGAAATGTTAGCATGAAAATTGATAGAATAAATCCTAAGGGCTTGGATTATGAAAGATGTACCTTAAGTAGTCTTATGAGATACTTTAAGGTAGGAATGTGTAAATGCTAAATTAAGCTAGGAGTAGGCCTTAAAGGCAACTCAATATAAAGTGATTCTAGGCATAGAAGTTGCTTAGGAATTTGATAATATGACTAGAGGGAGTCTCTAGCATATTGAATGGTGGCTAGAGGAAGCCTAGCACAACGTAAGATGACTAGAGGAAGCCTCTAGCATAATAGAGAGTGACTAGAGGAAACCTCTAGCATGACGGGAAATGACTAGAGGAAGCCTCTAGCATAATGTAGAGTGACTAGAGGAAACCTCTAGCACGAAATAGAGTGACTTGAGTCAGCCTCTAGCACGACGGAATAATATAGATGAATGTGACTCTAATATAGTGAAATGACGCATTAAGGTAAGCATGGGCCCACAAGCCGACTACTTGACCTAATATATATAAGGTAAGTATATTTTAAATAGGGCAACCAAGGTTTACGGCCTATAATATGGTATCACCCTAGATTGAGGGTCTTAGAGATTGAACAATTGACTATATACAGTGTAGTTGTCATTGTACTTTTCAAATGCTTCAAAGTACTGGCCTCCCTTTCACGGGGGAGGCCACCTCACAGTTTCAGGTAGAACTTGAAGGTTGCTACCACCGCCCGTTGCTTCGGGGAGATCGAAGGAATAAAACTTGGTTCGTGCTTCTTCCATTCCTGTATGAAAACAATTTAAATAATGTCATGGATATTATTTTGGAATAATTATTTGGGGGCTTGTATGCCTAAGTTTGCCAAGTGTGGCTTAACTCTTGTATTAATGTTTCTGCTGCTTTAATGAATGTTTTCACGTTATGTTTATTTATGGATGTACTATGTGTGAATGATATTCCAGATGCTTTGTATAGTATGGATGTGTTGGATTGCGGTTGACTATTCGTACTGTACGATGGGTTGTTGACGTGTTCGGGTAGGTCTGGGGCGTGACAATTTGATTGGTATCAGAGACTTAGTCCGTAAACATCATAATGAAGTCTCAAAATTCCTTTTTGAAAACGAATTTGAAAACTATGAGCATCAGAAGTTTTGTACTTATAAAACTTGTGGTACTTGAGTTGCAATGTCTCTAATTGTTAAGATGGTACCCTTAACAATTGGTATGACGGTGATTTGAGCCAAAAGATGTCTTTATGTGCATATCCGTCAAATGACACTTGATACGAGTCTAATGACTCATTTTAAATTTCTTTCAGAAATAGAACGTATCGGGAAAGTTACTCAACGGAACCCGACTGGTCAGACACCGAAAAGGTCCCAACATGGCAGTTGAGGGGCATCGAGAGTGTCTAGGGGACAGGGTCGTGCAGGCCACTCGCTGACCGTAAGTGATGGTTATGCTGAAACAGTTGATGAGCATTATGAGTCCGAGGAGGATTCAACTTAACGACCGGGAGCTGAGCCGGTTGAAACCCCATATGATGGCAAAGATGATGACGTTAGTGAAGAGAGCGATGATAATGACGCTCTAGAGAGGATTGAGGACTTGCTCCGACAATACCAACAAGATCGCCAAAGGCGTCGGGAAAGGCGTGCTTTGGGAGGGGCCTCGACGAGAGGGAGCAGTGTGAGTCCTAGGGGAAGCATGGAACCCCGACGAGATCGAGGTACTGAGGTTCCTATAATAAGGATCTCGAAGTACCTCAAGGAGGCAAGAGATTTGGGATGTAAACCGTTTGATGGAACATGAGACATCTCCGTTGCGGCCGAGTGGATCAAGAGATTCAATGAAGCAACCCTTGACATGCAGCTGCCACCCAACACGAAGATAAGAGTGGCAACGAGATTGATGGAAGGAATGGCGTCCACGTGGTGGGAGGGAGTCAAGGGGAAGTACGGCGAGGTCGTCACTTGGGAGAACTTCTGTCAAGAGTTCTTTAGCCAATACTACTCCGACTTCGAGGTGAACATGAATAGGAGGGAGTACACGAACTTGACCCAATGAGGTCAATGCACTGTGAGAGAACTTGAGCACAAACTCAGGAAACTTACTGAATTTATTCCGGAGTATATTTGCGATGAGAATCAGATGGTGAATCGTTTCTGGAATGCCTTGGACCTTGACATACGTGAGCGGGAAACACAATTGCCTAACATGACGTTAAGTCAAGTGGTTGAACAGGGCATGAAGGGGGAGAAAGAATGGGAGGAAAGAAAGATGAAAAACGCCGAAGAGGCGAATAAGAGGAAGTGGGAAAGTCATGACCCCCAAGGTTCTAGCAAGAAGGGGAACCAAGGGGGAGGAGGATCTTTCAGGGCACCCACACCACCATCGAGGGGGAATCCCAGCATGGTGCGCCCGGTTGCAAAACGACGCAGCATGCCTGTTTTTTTTGCTTTTGTTGTTAAAAAATGATAATAACTTTTTTATTTTTTATCCAATTTTTATAAAATTTATATCAACATTTTTTATTTTTCACGATCTTTCAAATGAGACCAATATTGCTTATGTAATTTTAAGAAATTATCGAACTATTATATTAATGAGTATTGGATTATAAGGAAAATCGAATCTGTTTGGGAGATGATAGATTTGTGAAATAGAAGATCGAATCTGTTTGGGAGAGGATCAGTGGCCTCAGTTACATTTGATAATACATTGAGTTACATCTTTTTATGAGTGAGTTACATCTTTTTATAAGCAAGTTACATCTTTTTATAAGCGAGTTACATATATATACACACGAGTTGCATTTGACATGCCTGAACGCGACTTACATATATTTACACGTAAAGTTACATATTTTTACACGTAAAGTTACATATTTATACACGCGAGTTACATATTTATACGCACGAGTTGCATTTGACCTGTCTGAACGCGAGTTACATATTGTTTTACGTAAAGTTACATATTGTTACACGTAGAGATACATATTTATACACACGAGTTGCATTTGGCCTGACTGACCGTGAGTTACATATTTTAACACGTAAAGTTACATATTTTACACACAAATGTTAATATGTTAAAATTACATAGGCAATATTGATCTCATTTGAAAGATCATGAAAAATAAAAAATGTTGATATAAATTTTATAAAAATCGGATCAAAAATAAAAAAATTATTACCATTTTTAAAAATAGAGAAAATAATATCCAATGGGTGCATGGTGCTCACCATGCACCCGTTGCACGGTATACGCACTCTGTTACAGAAGGCTTTACATGTAGTAGTGATAAAAATAGGTAATACGTATTGTAACGATCTAACTCTACTCGTAGTAATCGTCTCTAAGAGGGTGCTTGGAAATGATTCTGCTTCTGCTTCTTTTTTTAAAGCAGAAGCAGAATCAGAATCAGTTTTCAGAAGGTGGTACCCCCCCGCTTCTAAAAAACTGATTCTAGGAGTAAATAAGAGCACCAAAATCACTTCTGCATTTTCACCCAAACACTCCAACTTCTTCTTCTGCTCCCTGAAAGAGCAGAAGCAGTTTTAAGAATTAGATCCAAACACCGCCTAACTCTCCACTCTCCTGTCTTCACTTCTCTATTCTCGACAACTTCAAGGCTCTCGAGTAGAGCAAGGACAACTTCTGCAACCGGCCAGGGCGGCCACCCACCACACCAATCAACTCGATCCAGCAGAACAACTTCCACCACCAAGCAGGACGGCCGGACAGCTCTATTACCCGTAGGGCCGCAGACAACAGCAACCGGACACCCGAACCAGCCACACCCTTCTCTTCCTCGCACCAGTTGCAGGCCCAAAGTGATGCCGCACCCATCTCTTCAGGTATTATCAATTTTAACTTCACAACCAATTCTAATCTTTTTCCCTCATCTTTTTTTTTCCTAGTTTTTTTATCCTTATATATATATAAGAATTATTTGAAGCCTTTTTATTTTATCATTTTTATATATATTCATCTTTTTTTATATTATATTTTCATAATAGCTTATCTTTTTATCTTTATTCCTTCTTTTCCTTTTGGTTGTGATATCATGTATCGATTCATTTTAGCCGACCCCAATATCTTTTGGGAATAAGGCTTGGATGTTGTTGTTGTTCGCTTTTTGCTGATGCATACTGATGCTATTTCCATTCTTATTTGTTTATTTCTTGCTGATATTGATGCTAAGAACATGCTCAATGACATTCCTTCTGTTAGTATTATCATTGGTCAGTTTTGTGTGCTATAACATGTTTTTATCTTTCATGAATTGACATTTTTATTTGTGTCTTGAATTAGCATCTTCTTCTGTGATTGTGGTCACCTCATTTTTGTGTATTTGTGTGTCCAAAATTGGCTGCAGGATATAGATTAACATGTATTTTTTTTCTACTTTTTACTAGTCAATAATTAAATACTCCGTATGTATATCCATAATCAGGTTCGTTTGTTAAATGTTGTTATTAAAAACTATGTAGGGAGAACTATCAAATAACCCCTCGAACTTTCATAAAAAGTGCAAATAAGCCCTTTTACAGGAGGCATTGTCCGGCTGTCGTCATTTGGGGCGGTTTCGGGTGAAAGTTTTTGATGAATTTTTTTGAGAATCTTCTTCATTAAGTCTAGTTTACCCATACCAAATTTCAGCTAAAAATTCAATCGAGAAGGCAGTCAAATGATTTTCTGAAATATATTGCATTGTCTAACTGCGCAGTTATCTTCAAAAATTCATTTGACTGCCTTCTCGATTTAATTTTTAGCTGAAATTTGGTATGAATAAATTAGACTTAATGAATAAGATACTAAAAAAATTCATCAAAAAAATCCACCGAAAACCGCCCCAAATGGCGATGGCCGGACAGAACCTCCTATAAAAGGACTTATTTGCACTTTTTATGAAAGTTCGAAGGCTTATTTGATAATTCTCCCAAACTATGTATATATAAGGAGTATATAAATTGATTCAAACAAAAAGCTATCTCTGGTCTACGTAGCATGTATATTTTGTTCATTTTAACATGACTGTTTATAAGCAAATGAATATATTATTTTAATATTTACAAATGTTAATATGTATTACACATGTGTAATATGGAGCAAAATTTACATATGGAAGATCCAATTACTGAGGAATTGATATGTGACGTAACTATATATTATTATATTATATAATTGTTGCGATATGCACAAACTATTATTACGAGAAAATTCCACAACTAGGAGTGAAACATACAAAAAGCACAAAAGTAGGAGTATAAAGTTGCATAGGAGTAAAAAAACAAAGATTGACTAAACTACTCTTAATGAATAACTAATTTCTTTATTAATAATCAACACGGAATACGGAGTATTATCATACCGCAGTAAATCAAAACAATAATACGAAGTACAAATTTTACAGAGATGTGTCGCCCCAAAATAATTGCACGACAGCTCACATCACCGGCGATGACGTCGCTGGCCGCCGGCCGCCACCACAATTCAAATCCAGCCGCAACACTTGAAATGTTGTCTCCGGCCACCGCATCTGTAATCATTGTCGCCGGCCGGCACATCAGAAATCGTCCGTCGCAGTCCGCTTAATCAGGCGTGGTCGCCGCCGGCTGCCTGATTTGGCGGTGCCGCCTTCTCACTTTGCACCACCTTCTCCTCCGGCGAGATTCCGGCGAGATTGATGTAGATTTTTGTCAAAAATTCATGCTTGCAAAAATACAGAGTTGAGTCACAGTCTTAACAGTAATTGCCAAATTCTCATTTTTTAGAATGAAAACATGGCATTATAACTGATATAAGGGGACACTAATTGTCAAAATGGCACCACCCTTGTAATGGCACGATTTGCCAAAATATGTTTTTTTAAGAATGAAAACATGGCATCAAAACTGATTTATGGCTTAAAAACTAATATTTCTATCTTGAGTTTCAAATAGAAATTTTTAGATTTAGAAGGATAAAAAAAATTGATTTAATTATTTTAAACATCTAAATCCGAAAAAACTAAAAAAATAAGATCCAAAATTTTCAGATCTAAAATAGCAATTTTAGGTTTGAATCTCAAAATAAAACAAATGAAACCATAGAAATAGAAAAAAAAAAATCAAGAGAATAAAATAGAGGAGCGAGAGTGAGGGAGAAGAAGATGGAGGAGAAGCTTAGGAGGTGAATATCTTACCGGAGAAGACCGACGCAGCACCTGAGTGACGTTGCAGAAGAGAAATTAATCATCGACGAGAACTTGTAGAGTTGTAGATGTGAAGTTGGTTGCCGGAGATGTAGTGTATTTTTTCCGCCTTTGAAATCCATGGGAGAGACCAATTGTAGATGTGAATATGGGAAAGAAGGAAGATGCAGAGATGAAAGAGAAGTGGTGGTGCAGGAGGCATGCATGGCTGGGTCAGAAAAATGAGGAAATGTAAATTATTAATGTAGGAAGGGTAAAATTGAAATATAAGCTCCTACATTAGGAATTTAAAAGGTACGCTCCTACTTTTGCATTCTCATTATGTTTGACTCCTAAAAAGGGTAATTTTTTATTTTATATATTATTATATCAATATTTTAACAATTGTATCGATGCATAGGAGAAGTCATACAAATCCTCCAATGGAAGTCGAAGTTGATGGGGGAGCAGTACTATCGAGACTGATCTTGAAAGAATGAATGCAAATAATGATGATGACAGTGGTGAGAAAGATGATGATATGCCTACATTTCAAACGAGGAAAAAGAAGAAAAAGGCTTCAAAAGCTCATACGAATTTTGATAAAGTGATTTTAACGAATGGAATTAAAAAGTATAAATGTGTACATTGCAATAAACTGGTTTGTAGGCCGGATAGTGGTACAACTTCTCATCTTTGAAATCATTTGAAGACTTGTGACGCAAAGAAGCTTGGCAAGAAAAAACAAATGAACTTGCAATTTCAACCATCAAAGTCCAAGTTTGAGATGTGTCCCTTATCAAATGGCAAGTATGATCATTTGAAGCAACGAGAAACAACTGCTCAATGGATAATGATAAGTGAGCAACCTTTCAATGTTGCGGAAAACGATGGATTCTCCTTTACGTGTTCCAGGTTAATCTCCCACGGTTTGAAAAGATCTCTTGTGCTCAAGTATGAAGTGATGTTATCACTTTTTATGAGATTGAAAAAAGGAAGTTGTTGTCTATTATTACTACTTACTCCATCCGTTCCTATTATAACTTCCAACTTTCCTTTTTCGTCCGTTCCAATTAAAACTTCCACTTTCCCTTTTTGGTAAAGAATTTGTGATTCACAACATTTCTTACACATTTCTCTCTCCTCTGCACAACTCTCCACCACACAATACCCATTATCTTAAATTGTGTGCCAAACCTATTTGGAAGTTATAATAGGAACAGAGGTAGTATTATTCAAGTGAGTCCCTAATTCTACGTATCATTTGCTTGCTACCCGGCAACGCGTAATAATAGTTTGTTGTGTAGCAGAAAAATATAAAATCAACGAGGTAAACCGTTGCCCAGATAATCAACGATAAAAATACCGTTGCCAAGAGCTAAAAGGCTAAAACCAATTTTATTCCCAGATAATAAGAATGAACCCTGGCGAGGGGTATAAATAGCATTCTACAAGAAACCCTAGTCAAGTCCAAACTAATTAAATCCTAATTAGGCCCAGACTAACTCTACTAAGTACTCTACTAATAAAAGGTCCAAACCAAAACATAACATTAACTTAATAATAATAAATAAACTATAAGACAGCCCGTAACCGGCCCACGGAAGTGGGTCCAAGCCCGATCCCGCCCCATGCTGTTCCTGCTACCTATCAATCCATCCTCCTTCAAATTAACCTTGTCCTCAAGGTTGAAATCTCGCGGATCGGGGACTGAAATTTCCAGCCATAGAATGGACTGGAAAATATCCTTTATCTCTTTCCTGAATTCTTTCCTAGCATGTTATTTCACAGTACTCATGTTGTTGGAGGTCCAACTCTTCATCCTCCTCAGCTATCATTACCCGCAACTGCTTAAAGGGACAGTCATGCCCGAATGTAAATGGTTTCTTACACCTAAAGCATAATCCTTTCGCCCTCAATTCTGCAAACTCCTTTGGCGGGAGACGAGTGAACTGAGAGCGTGTCGTAGGCTGCCCAGACAGCCCTGACTTCATCCCCGAAGGCTATCCATTATCCTTCGGGAAGCTGCCACTTGATCCCTGTAGGCTGCCACCACTGGCAGTCAACGGAGGGCTAGTGTTTGGCATTAAAAAGCTACTGGAACGTACCCCTGAAGGATTATAATTCGGGCTGACACTTCCTCCACTCTGGACGGACAGGTTGTACTCCACATCGCGAGCTAATTCCATGGCCTCTTCCAAATTATTCAGTCGAAATAAGCGCAACGAGCTCTGATTTGCGAGCTCTGATTTGCTTCCTTAAGTCCGCTCATATAGTAGCCCAAATAATGAGCATCGGTCAATCCCGGAACTTGGCTAGCTAGTTGAACAAACAAGGTATTGTATTCCTCTACTGATCCAATTTGTTTGACGTCGGAAAGCCTTTCAAATATGTTCCCTTGGAATCGGGAATCGAATCTAGCCACCAGGGCTTGCTTGAATTCTTCCCACATCATGTCTGGTTTGCGCGCTCTCAGCCATGTTACCCAATTGAGGGCAGTCCCTTCCATATAAACCCTAGCCGTTGCAACTTGTCTGTCCGGTGGGGTCTTGTTGAGCTCAAACTGTTGCTCCACTCTCACCAACCACCCAATTGGGTCTTCACCGTCGAACGAGGGAAGGAGAGCAGTGGCTGCGCTGGGCAGTCCACCGTCGCTGGCCGCTGTTACGGTCGCATTTCCGACCGCAACCGAGGAAGTTGCCTGCGATATCAGCGACACCAAGGTCTGTGTGAGCGTCGCCAGTGATGCGATGATTTTAGTCGGCCACATGCCATGCTCTTCCAGGGTGCTATTCATCCGATTCTGTTCCATCCCCATGCGTGCCTGCTCAGCCCTTAATCGGGCTTGCTCCTCTCCCAGTCGGTGTTGCTCGGTCTCTAACTCGGTCAATCGATCGTTTTGAGATCTTGTCATCCTGGCAGGATGAGATCCGGCAGGTCAGACCAATTGTTGTGTAGCAGAAAAATATAAAATCAACGGGGTAAACCGTTGCCCAGATAATCAATGATAAAAATACCGTTGCTCCAGAGCCAAAAGGCTAAAACCAATTTTATTCCCACATAATAAGAATGAATTCTGGCAAGGGGTATAAATAGCCTTCTACAAGAAACCCTAGTCAAGCCCAAACTAATTAAATGCTAATTAGGCCCAGACTAACTCTACTAAGTACTCTCTCTACTAATAAAAGGTCCAAACCAAAACATAACATTACCTTAATAATAATAATAAATAAACTATAAGACAGCCCGTAACCGGCCCACGGAAGTGGGCCCAAGCCCGGTCCCGCCCCATGCTCTTCCCGCTACCTATCATAGTTGTTACCCAGATTTTTCAACAGTTATTTATGTATTTATTTACATGTGTTTGATGTATCCATAGATAAACAACGGTGCAGTTTGAACTAGTGTAGTTGTTGCCCACATTTCCCTGCACTTATTTATGTATTTGTTTACATGTGTTTGAAGTATCCATAAATATATAATGGTGCAGTTTGAACTAGTCTAGTTGTTGCCCAAATTTCCATACACTTATTTTGTATGTATTTACATTTGTTTGATGTATTCATAAATAAATAATGGTGGAGTTTGAACTAGTATAATTGATGTCCAGATTCTCTACACTTATTTATGTATTTGTTTACATGTGTTTGATGTAAATGGTCTATTATAATCTCATTAGGAAGACTAGTTATTACAATCTTTTAGTTGCGGCAGCCCCCTATTCTATTTAACATATACGTACCATTTAGTTATTATTATTATTTATTATTATATCTTTATTTAATTAATAAATGGTATTGGTAATAGTTAGACGAGAACTCATTTATTAGGAAGACTTTCATTGTGATTGGGAAACTAGTTTCGAACTAGTATAAATACACCATCCTCCTTCATAATTGATAGACCAATTTTCTAGATTCAGTATTATCAGTTTATTTCCCTGCGAAGAGATTTCCTAGCCTTTCTCTTAGGGAGATCTAACCGTTCTTTTGGAAAGGAGAAATCACGTGGATACCTAAGATCAAGGATTTTCATCACTAGGCTGGAAGATCTGTAAGTTCTAACTCAGATCTGTTATTATTGTTATATTCGTCATTTTGTCATAATCAGGGAAGACCTATTTGGGAAAATTTTAAACTTCCGATGTTGTACTTTTGAGGTACGCTACATCAATTTCCTAACAATTTGATGTATCCATGAATAAATTATGGTGCAGTTTGAATTAGTGTAGTTGCTGACCAAATTTCTCTACACTTATTTATGTATTTATTTACATGTGTTTGATGTATCCATAAATAAACAATGATGCAGTTTGAACTAGTGTAGTTGCTGCCCAAATTTCCCTGCACTTATTTATGTATTTGTTTACACGTTTTCTCGTTTAATGTGTATTTGTTTATCATTAATAGGTTTTAATATATTTGATGGGCTTATGAAGTGCACTAAAGATTGGGGAACTGAGCATAAAATACTCACTATATCCGTGGACAACGTTTCAAATAATGATGTCGCACTTCGAATTGCTAAAGGTACTTTCTCTAGCAATCTAAAATTGCCATTGGATGGAAATGTATTTCATGTGAGGTGTGTTGCACATATTCTAAATCTGGATGTTCAAGATGAACTTTCTGAAATAAAATCCATCATTAGTGATGTTAAAGATAGTGTCCGATTCATCAATTAAACTGAGGCTAGGTTGCTCAAATTTTCTGATATTGTGCATCATTTAGCAATTTCAGCTAAAATGTTAATTATAGATTCCCTATATTTGCACAAAGAGAAAGTTTATACAAATGTTTTCCTAGCTCTGAATATTGGGAAAAGGTAAGTGAAGTTGTTGATATTCTCGAGGTGTTTTACGGAGCTACTCATGTACTTTCCGGAACTCATTATCCCACATCTAATGGTTTCCTTGCCGTCATTTGGAGAGTTAAGCACGTGTTAGATGGGAAAGAGGCAAGTCCCAATGAGTTTGTCAAAAACATGGTCAAAAAAATGAAGGAAAAATTTCACAAGTATTAGGGAAGTTGTAATCTTTTGATGGCTATTGGAGCAATACTCGATCCAAGATTCAAAATGAGATTGGTTGAGTTTGCTTTCAAAAAAGTTTGAGATGCTTTATATGATTTTTTTTGGAGTATGTTAAACATGATCTTTCAAAATCTGGAAAGCACAACTCTTCTTCACCAATTGAGAACCCTTGTCCAAGTCATTCAAGCTCAATGCTCAAAGGAAGGTTAATACCTTTGGGTTTAACTATGTTTAATGACTATTTGAATTCCGTTCAACATGATGCTCCTTTGAAATCAGAGCTAGACATCTATTTAGAGGAAAGGAGTATGTGTTTAGATGCCAAGAAGAAGATGCGACATCTGAGTTTGATGCATTGGCTTGGTGAAAATCTCAAGAGCTCGACTTAATATTTTATCTAAATTAGCTCGTGATGTTTTAGCTATCTCTATTAGTATTGTTGCATCGGAGGCGACTTTTATTGCATGTACTCGAGTATTAAATCCATATTGTGCTAATTTATGATGTGACATGGTTGAGGTTTTGATTTGTGGAGCGATTGGGTTATGAAAACATATGTAAATTTTACTCGTATGTCTAATCTTCTTATTGAATATTCTATTTGTATATTTTTCATAATATTTGAATAAGTTTAATAATTCATTTAACTTTTACCGGAAGAGAAATTGTCGATTGAGGGTTTGTTTATAAATAGAAGAGTTAAAGCTTGGAGGAACTTGGAAGAATTCAACTTGAACAGTTGAACCTGATTATTCTGAACTATGAATTGCTTATTATGTAGACTATTTTTGCATTCTTGTTACTAACTTATTACTACATATTGCTCCTTTGCAATGACTTATTTGAATGGGTTTCTGTTTGAAGTAGTTCGTTTAACTTTGGATGTCAACATAGACTTGTTTTAATTGATATTAATCATATTAGTTTAATCAAGTTCGTACATTCATTTATCAGATTTTTTGAAAAAAAATATTTTTAATTAATTGATTTTACTATGTTTAGCGAATGATTTTTGAAGTAATTGACTTTACATTCTTTAGCAATTGACTTTTGAATTAATTGATTTTCTGAAGTATTTCATTTAGTAGACATATTTGTGAACATCGAAAAAATCATACATATTATTTGAGTAGGTAATTTTTTTTTGACACTTCAAACATTCAAATTCGAATATTCGAATACAAAACGATTATATTCGAATATCATTAATTAATGAATCAAATATAAATCTAATTTGTGATTTGAATAATATCGGAATACGAATATTCGTCAAGTTATACGAATACGAATAATATTACTCACTATTCGATTTGTTTACAACCCTAATAGTTCGTTCATGATGTAATAGTTCGTTCATGAGTACTCCTATGCCAATTTTGTGTGCATATCAAGGCTTCAACCATTTTAGGACTCAATGAGCTACAGAATGAATCAATCACTCGCCCACTAGTGCTAAGACATGATTCCGAAGCAATTGTGGATACCGGAATAGCAAGAATATCCTTTGCAATAGATGCCAAAAGAGGGTATTTACCAGACTCATTCACCCTCCACCAATTCAAGACGTCAAAGCTTGAATTCTCATCACCTTCAACATCATCCGAAAGATACCTATCCACATCATTTTTTAGGAAAATTGTCCAAAATAGGAGCAAATGAGATTTGGAATTCCAAAATAGGACTAGTGTGTTTTTCTTCCCGAAATAGAAGTTGTTACTGTCATGTGTGAAAAATACTGCCATGATTAAAAATTATTGTCATTAATTATAATAAAACTGTCATGTTAAATGCACTGTACTGCAACTATTTCGCAATCACGCCTACAAGATACAATAAATACTGTCATGTTAGTCTCATTTCGGGAATAAAAAAATAGTAGTTCTATTTTGGAATTTTAAACTCCATTTACTCCTATTTTGGGAAATCTCCCCATTTTTTATAATACCGGCCTTTGTTTCCTTTCTTTTTCGCTCCTTTAGTGCCAACTGTTTTTCAAGTTCCGTCACATTTGATGAAGAGTTCATATTTAAAGCTAAGGAAGAATCGCCACAAGTTGACTGTGATATTTGGAAAGACAAATAAGTATAAATCTTATAGATACTATAGAGATCATACAATGTGTTTTGACTTTGCTAATGCCATCTTCCACCCTGGCATCCAACTCCCCATACATCAATTCCATACAATCACCAAGCTTTTCAAATTTATGGCATGGGTCAAGAACCATAGCAATGAACAAAGACTCATTCACCTTATCAATATCTCCATAATACTTGTTATATTTCTCTTGCATGGATACTGAGATGGAAGGTAAAAGTGTATTTCATGTTTCTTTCAAGAGAACTTGATTTTTAATTCAATCACCAAAAATAGTATGAAATGTTGGAGTGTTTTAGCAACATACCTTTAAGGTAACTTCATAAAAAAGTCTCAAGAAGTTGGTAAACATGAAACATCTCTGTCTTTCCCCACTCATCATCACTTGGAGGCCATTCTCTTGGCCTTTTTCTGGCATTTAACCATGAAAATATCCAAGATAATGATCATCATCTTCTATCAACCTATCAAAAGCTAATCGAAACTTCAAAGCGGCTTGCAACATTAAAAATGTAGAATTCCACCTAATAAGTGCATCCATGATCACAAGTCCTTAGCTCTCTATCTTGACTTTTTTCACACAATTTTTAAACATGACTAACCTTCGGGGTGAAGATCTTGCATATCTAATAACAGTACGAATGCTTTGAATACACTTATTAAGCAACCTCAAACAATCATTCACAATCAAGTTCAAAATATGAGTTACACATCGCATATGCAAGTTCTTACCATCATGTAAAAGTGCATTTGGAACCCTCCAAGTACCTATTCTCTTAATCAAATCTCTCAACCCGACATCATTTGACGAAACATTATCAACACTAATAGTCAAAATCTTATCTATGCCCCATTTAACCAAACACTCCTCCAAAAGTTTAGCAATAGATTCACCCTTATGATTTGGAATCACACAAAAGTTCAAAATTCTCTTATGCAACATCCAATTAGCAAAAATAAATTAAGCAGCAAGTACCATGTAATTGATGTTTTGAATGGAGGTCCAAGTATTTGTGGTTAAACACACTCTATATCTTCAACTCAGTATGCTTCCCATCTGATCTCTTCCTAGCCTCATCTTCAACTCAAAATTTCCACTTAATATGTATGTGAAACAAATGTTTGTATGAAATGTTTTGGTGTCCACCTTCAACAATTATATGCTCATATTTATTTTATATGTCTTATATCTAAACTTTATTTCACTAGTTGAGTTTTTAAAGTCCATTAGTACTATGAGTTCTTACTTCAAGTTGTAAGTAATTTGTGTACTTGCTTTAGTTGTAGTCTTTTAATGTCCCCGTTTGTTTATTAAAGACTTTTTATTGACTATTTATGAACTTCATCCTTTAATTATATTACAGTAGTGAACTCAACATGAATTAAAAAGTAAAAATGAACTCTCATTTCATTTGAAACAACAAAGGATATTATAAATGATCATATTTCAAATAAAAATATAACTAATATATAACCACAATGTTTAATGACCAAAAGAGTGAACTTTTACATCTCAGGACAACTAATACTTAATGTGTATTATAGTCCATCTCAGTCCACCTGCTTCCTTCATGATGCACATTAGTAGCAGTGTACCTGTTATGTTTCACATGACTACTCTCCTTATTTGGTTGCTAACACATTTTCATCTGTTAAGCACACCGTTTAATCTTTGTAACCACTTAGTGTTGCACCCTCACCATTTCCCCCATTCATATCACCATCTTCTATATCAATTTGATATCGTCTATTCTCTGATGAAACCATGGCACCTTAATATAAATTTTGTCATGTAAATTAGCCTTCCTCTGCACGCTAAAGAAGCAAAAATTGTTCAAAATATTCTGATCTTAAGGAGAGGATAAGGAAAATCAGTCCACGCAGTTCCAATTTTGAAGCTAAACTTTGGCCAGAAACCTCAATCGTGTTCAGAATCCTGTACTGATTCCTAGAATATAGCCAATCCTTACCATTCGTATCTGGCTTCAGGGTATAGTAATTCAGCCCGATACTCTTTTTGGTCACCGTAACAGGGTTCAGACATGATCTTACAATCACCTACTTAATATACAACAACATTATTATTACCTATTTATTGTCTATCACAACATAATATAATAGTACAATTCTTTATCATACGTTTTTCATCACTCAACCACAAATCAATTGAATTCAAAATAGAATTGAACTCAATATATCAGCACAATCACTTGTTTTATATTCAACAACACTATTATTACATGCTCAACCAATTTTTATGTATATACAGTCTACTATTTCACACATTACTTATTTAGTGTCTATCACAACATAATCTAACATTAGAACTCTGATCATACGTTTTTCATCACTCAACCACAAATTAATTGAATTCAAAATACAACTGAACTCAATATATCAGTACAATCAACTATTTTATATTCAACAACAACATTATTACCTGGTCAGAGGGAAGAACGATTTCATTGTTATTAGGTTTCCTTGTTTCGAAATCATTGTCTGATTTGTCTTGACGTAGTTGTTGATGTCTTTCAACGTCATTGTCGTCCTCTATTTTCTTCCTCTTTTCCATTTCTTCTGCTTCACTTCTTAGATTTTGTTCACCATTATTTGCTTGGACTGGTGCGTGCTGCGTGGGAGGTTCGGCAGTTATTTTCTTTCGTCCTTTCGCCATTGGCACGAGGATTAGGGCACCGGCAAGGTTGAGAGTAGTGGATTTTGCCGTTGCGATGAATTAGGGGGTCATATGGTCGAAGATGTCATCTCATTTAAAATAAGGGTATTATGGTCAAACACTTTCATCTGTAGTTCTACGGTGGTATGTGGTCCTAATTTTGGAAACTTATTAGCTTTTAGTCTTATTAGGGTAATTTTCCCAATTACCTTCAATGAAGCCATTTGATCACGTTATTTTAAAAAACTAGTGATGGATAGTCTACCCGGGGGTATATATCCGAAGGGTTACTACGGGGAATAATTCAGAGAGAAGTCAGAGCAGGTAAACGTAGAGAGAGAGAGTGTATTATAAAGGTGGAGCGTTTTCAGCGTGGTTACAAATGGGGAAATGGGGGGCTATTTATAGTAGCAATAAATGCCGGGCAGGGACACGTGTCAAGCGCTCATTGGCCGAGGGGTCGCCTCAACTGGTTGGCGCTGGCAGCCGCATGTGGCCGCATTTAATGCGGCTGTTGGATGGGACGTCTGTGCAGAGTACGGTGATCTGTACGCATGTGAGGCGGATATCTTGTCGAGTGAGATGCCTTCGGCCATAGAGCAGTAGCCGAAGGCTCCCCCAACCGAGGGCACCTTGGTGCCGAGGGCTCACAGGACCGAGGGCTACTGTTTTCGCCATTTTCTCCCAGTTTCTTAGTTTGCTTGAGAAACCCGTTCTGTGAGAGTTTTAGACCCTTCGGCCAGGGGGCCGAAGGCACCCCTGGCGCGTAGTGCGGGCTGCTTGGTACTCTGGACACTGTGATTTGGGCATGTTAGGCCTGTTGGGCCTTCGATGGAGTAGTAGGAGTCTGTGGGCCGGGGGTTCCCGGGCCATGTACTCCATCAGGAGTCCCTCACTCCTTTTGCCGAAAGGTACTTGAGGGAAAAGGAGTAATTTGTGCTTGCCTTTTGATGTTGTCCTGTCGTGATCTCTGAAGTTGGTGAGGAGTTGTTGCTTTTATGTCCCTGCCGAAGGCAGTCCCTCAGTTACCCACATGTCGGGACTTGAGGGCTTGCTTTGTTGTTTGTTGGAATTTCGCAGATTTTGTAATTTAATGATTTTCCCGAAGGGGTCCTCCAGTCCCCCACTCCTTGAGGCACTTGTAAAGTGGTGAAAAGGAGTAAAGTAGTTATGTTGTTGTTGTTGGCCGAAGGCTGACGTTTTTCGTTTCATTTTGGGGGGATGCCTCGTTAAAAACCTCATTAGGAAAAACCCTTTGGGAAAAAAATCCTAATGAGGGAAAAAGAGTGCACCGAATTCCCCCAATGATGAATCGAAAATATCAAACCTTGGTAAAAAATGGAGAATGACGGGAATCCCGAAGGCTCTCTCCTCTGAGGGCTCCTGTGTTGATTAGCCGGTGGCTTGCTGTTGATGTCCTGGTGGCGCCGAAGGGGAGCCCCTCAATCCAGGGATCGAGGGCCTGCCAGATGAGGGCAGCAGTGAAGCTGTTACCGGGGGGGTCCACTGTTTGTTGATGAGTTGGTGATGAAGATACCCGAGGGCTCACATTATCTGTGTGCCTTGGGCCATCCGTCAATGAGGCACTCCCTGGGGGCTACCCGGTTTTGCAGTGCTGAGGGGGAAACCCCGAGAGGTGCCCTGATATGCAGCTCTAGGGATCTGAAGGAGTGATCCCGAAGGCGTGTGTCAGGTGCTGTGTGGGGCACAACCCGGGGGCACTTCTGGGTGAGTGCACCCGGAGGCTATCCTTGATGAAGTGGAGTGAAGTAAAAAACCCGGGGCTTCCAAAATATAGCCGTTGGAAATATAGCCGTTGGAATATGTAACGACGGGATATAGCCGTTGGGGGGGGCACACGTGGCGTGTGATGGCTGGCTGTCCGTGGGCGGCGTCACTGGTTGGGCGAAGACGCGGTGAGTAATGATGGCGTCCATCCGGAGGCCCGGAACCCAGGCCCAAGCCCGGATTCCAGCGCCTATAAATACCCCAAGGCCGGGCATTCCTCTGTGTGCGAAAAACTTGTTAGCGAAGCTCTGCCAATTTTTCTAGAGAGAGAAACAGCAGCCCCCGGTTGAATCCTCTGTTCTTAAGGTCAGTTCTCCAGTTACCCTTCACCTCTTAGCTACCTGTACTGCGCCCCTAGGCTAGGAGATAGAACATTTAGAGAACACTAGTTGTACGAGCCTTCGAACTAGAGCGCGAATGTCGTCCGAGAGTGATTCTCAAGATATCTCGAGGACGCCCTCGATGGAGGACGAAGGCATCTCTGACGTGGAGTCAAGCAGTGGTCAACCCTCGGATGGTGGTGATGCGGCCCTGGCCCGGGAGGTCCAGAAGGAACTCACTGCGGAGGTTGAAGCCGAGGGCTTCGAGCAGGAGTGCGATGATGAAGACTTAGCCCTCGCCTGGCAGACAGCGGAGGATGAGGCACAGAATGAGAGCTCGAAGGTTACGATTGCTGTTCTCCCCCCTCGGGGTTCCGGGGAGGCCAGTAGCTCGAGGCCGTTGGATCCGATACCTCTGAGGGCGGTTTCCGGTGTGAAGAAGAAGAAGGCCGCTACCAAGAAGAAGGAGAGGGCCGTCGATCAAGGAAAGCCCGTGGACATGCCCGAGGGGTATAGTTGGCTGAACAATGAGGCCCTCGAGATCAGGTCGAAGGCTGACAGGGCGGATCTGTACGTGACTCAGCTGCACGTGGGGCCCTCGGCCGAAGTGGTGGAGCCAGGTCCCGACGACGTGTTGTCCAGGGCGCCCGAGGGGTGTATCGCTATTCACGTCCTTTCGGTTTCCATGGGACTTAGGTTCCCTCTGCACCCATTCCTCTGGGAATATTTGCGGTTTGTTGGCTTGGTCCCCTGCCAACTCACGCCCAACAGCCACTCCTACATTGCGGGGTTCCTTCAGCTCTGCAAGTCCCGAGGGGTGAAGCCCAGCCTGGATCTATTCTTCCAGAGTTTTAATCTGTGCCGGGGGGGGGGGGGGGGCACGAAAACGGCGAGGGGTACGCCAACCTGCAGCAGATTGCCCGCTTCAAACTATTCTCCGATGCTCCTTCTTCCAACAAAGGATGGAGGGAACGTTGGTGCTACGTGAAGTTGGATGAGAGCCCCTTCCCGAGGGAGCTACGTGACCGATTCCGAAGGCACGAAAAGATCCGGAGTGCCGCTCTAGAGAAAGACGGCCTAAAGCTGGCCAAGTTCCCGGAGGGGAAAAACAAGAACGTGGCGATCAAAGACTGCACCCTCGAGGAGGATTTGTACACCCTCGGGTTCCGGAGGTACCGCTTCATAGGGGAGACCGATGAAAAGTACCCTCCCTTCAACAAGGCCTTCGGAGGGGCCGGAGGTAGGAGCCGAGGGCTTTAGAATTTTGTACTTAGTTTTTTTTTTCTTTTGCTTGGATGTTATCGTCCCTTCGCTTAGACCCGTCGGACTAACCCTTTGTCTCCTCTGTGCAGGTATCCCCGTCTCCATGGTGAATGTAAAGGGCCTTGCCCGTTTGAAGAAACAGGACCCGAAGGGGTCGGGACAGGGCATCCAGAAGCCCGCCACCGCCCTCTTTAAGAAAGCCGAGGGCGATGCCGCTGCCGGCAAGAGGAAGGCAGTGACCAAGGGGTCCCCCCCGGCTACCAAAAAGCCGAAAAAGGGGGATGTCACCGAGAAGGAGCCCTCGGTCATTATCGCTGATGAGCCCCCCGCCTCCGGGGTGCAGGTGGAGAAGCTGCCGGGTGGAACGCCGGCGGGGGCAGAGGAGTCGCTGCCTGAGATCCTCACAGTCGCGTTCCCGAGAGGTACATCTTTGGCCAGCGGCGCCGTCGACCCGGGGGCCATCCTGAGGGGTATGACCCCTGAGACGGATAGGGCTGCCCTCGGGGCCTATAATGATGCGGCCCTCGAGGACCACATTCTCCGCTCCTCCCTCTCTGTAAGTGTTTACCTGGCTTTCTCCATCTTCTCCTTTTATTATTTTGTGTGACTGCCTTTAACTGTTTTTGTTGTTGTTCTGCAGGCTTGCTTAGCCCTCGGCGAACAGGCTCGGAGGCTTCAAGAATGGCGCCTCCACAGAGCGGAGCAAGACGCCAGAATGAGGGAGTGCCTCCTCAAGAACCAAGAGGCGGTGAAGCTGGGGGCCCAGCTAGAAGAGGAGCTCCGGCAGATGAGCTTGAAACTGGAGGCTGCAGAGAAAGGCAAGGTTGATGCTGAGGCCGCTGCCAGGAGAGCTGCTAAAGAGGCCGAGGACTCCAAAGCGCTAGCTGTCGCCAAGGCTCAGGAGGAGGCCGTTGAGGCCTTTGTCGCCGAGGGTTGGAGAGCCGAGGGGCGCAAGATGTGGGTGTCCTCGGTCGTGGAGGCATGCGTTGAAGAATGGGCCGAGGGCCCTGGGTGGGAATGGATGGCCCGGAAGGGCAGAGAGTACTATGAAGCCGGCGAATTCTTCACCCAGGCCCTCATCTACCGGAGGATGGCCCGACATTTGGGCATTGAGCAAAAGGACTTCTCCCCCTCGGCGTATGGCCTTCCTCCCTTGCAGCCTGATGTCCGTGAGCCGCTCCCGGAAGGTGTTCAGAGGCCCGACCTTGAGGACACGGTGTTGAAGAATGAGGCCGAGGACGACGCTGTCGAGACCGGAGCGGAGGCATCATTGAGGCCGGCTGTAGAGGGCGCCCCGGTGAACGATGCTGTCGTAGTTGTGGAATGACTTTGTACTTAGAAATCTTTGAACATCTTTTGTAATGAACAACATTGTTCCTTCGGCTTCGGCCCGTTTGTAAATTCACACTTACTCTTGTTTTTGATGAAATGCATGCTGCCTCCGGGCTTTTCATATTCGAATACGCCTTATGTTTTGAATGTATGCCTTCTCCTTTGAATGTATGTCTAGGACTTAGAATACTATCTGATTGTAGCTAGCCCTTAGGAGCCTTCGGTAGTTGGGCACCCTCTGCTGGATATGCAACCGATGGTTCGGCAGCAATTAGGACTTAGAAAATTTTTTCTAAGTGTAGCACAGCATGAGGCCTTCGGGCGTTTGTAGTAACCCACCTCCTAGGACTTAGAAAAATCTCTAAGTGTAGATTCCCCCTTGAGAGCCTTCGGGATACGGCGCCCATTCCTGATGTGTGAATGTTGGACCGAGGGCCCAATGCACAGGACTTAGAGATTTTTGCAAGTGTAGTATGCCATGTAGCCTCCGGCTACTGTGGAGCCCCACCTGTAATATTGAATAGGCTGGGGGCTAATTCTTTTAGGACTTAGAAGATTTTCTTGAGTGTTGATTCCTTGTGAACTGTAGCCCTCGATTGATAGGTAGCCTTCGGCAATTAGGTCCCTTGAGATGAGGGTGAAATATGTAGGACTTAGAAAATCTTCTAAGTGTAGAGTTTCCCTCGAGAGCCTTCGGGAGATGTCATACCTCCATGATGTATGAGTAGCTGACCGGGGGGAAAGCATGCAGGACTTAGAAAATATTCTAAGTGTAAAGTCTCCCTTGGGAGCCTTCGGGAGATGGCATCCCTTCTTGATGTATGAGTAGTTGACCGGGGAAAACATGTAGGACTTAGAAAATATTCTAAGTGTAAAATCCCCCTTGGGAGCCTTCGGTAGATGGCATCCCTCCCTGATGTAAGAGTAGTTGACCGGGGGGAAATACATGTGGGACTTAGAAAATATTCTAAGTGTGAATTTTCCCTTGGGTGCCTTCGGGTGATGGGTGCCCTCTGATTCCACATCACTTTGCGAGATGCCCGGGGGCTACTCATTTAGGACAGAATACCCTCTTTTTTTTTAAGTGTTGTTGTATTGCATGGCCTTCGGCCACCATATTCCCTTGGCTGTAATATTGATTGGGCCGGGGGCTCCACCTTTAGGACTTAGAATTTTTTCAAGTGCTGCTTCCCTGTGTAGCCTTCGGGTGCCCGGGGGCTGCTCTTAGAATTTTTTCTAAGCATAAATTGATGTTGAATCCTGTTGTCGTGAAGAAAGCCAATGAGGAGTGTGTGCCCTCGGCATACACTCTAAAAGTCGTAGAATTTGATCCTTGTCATGGGGAAAGGGCCCTCGGTATTTGTGCATAACGGATGCCTTCGGTGTTTGTTTGAAGTACCGTTTAGTGGACCTTGGACAGTCCAGTCCCTTTGTGTTGTTGAAGTCTTCGGTGTCTTTGTGACCGGAGGTGACCAGGTAGTGGACTTAGCCGTTTCCTGATGATATTTCCTTGAGTAGTATCCTTCGGGAAATAGGAGTCTTCAATTGCTGGAGGTGTTCCCGTGGGGAGCCCTCGGCATGTTGTGATTTTGTTGGAGTGTACTCTTTGATTTCTCGCTGAGTCTACTCCCCTTCACCCCCTCTTTTTTTTTTTTTTGGTTGGTGGTGAAGGGAAGGCATCAAGAAACTTGGTTTCTTGGTAAGGCTGGGCCTATTAGGAGACCATCAGAATACACCAATGGCTCTCCTCCCTCGGGTTAACCTTCCGAGTTCCGAGGGGATCGAGGGACGTTTCCTGGGCACAAGATATGGTGGTCCGTAACCTGCCTCCCCTTGGGGGATGGCGCGGAAAGCGCCTCATTTTTTAAAGTCGTCCCCTCGGCGCTAGACATAGTCTGTGGCCTGCCACACCCTTGGGGTGGTGGCGCGGGGAGCGTTTCGGTTTGGAAGTCGAATCCTGGGCATTTCTCATGCCTGTCATACCCTGGGGGTAATGACGCGGATAGCGTTCCGTTTTTTGAAAGTCGAATCCTAGGCATTTCTCATGCCTGTCATACCCTGGGGGTAGTGACGCAGAAAGCGTTTCAAGGAAGGGTTTTCATTTGCACACTAGTTGCAAATGGCCGGGGGCACTACGTGCCGCCGGCACCGATGGTGGCGCCTTCGGTATATGCGTCCTCGTGGGGTACGGCTTTTAGAAACAACACTTGGTGTTAGTTTCGATGTGTAGCCCCCGGTACTTGGTACCGAGGGGTCTTCTGTAGGAACACTTGGTGTTCTCCTTTGTTGCAGTTGATGGAGGTGTCTACCCTCGGTACTTGGTACCGAAGGGCCTTCAAATGAAACACTTGGTGTTTCCCAATAGATGTTTGGAAGTTGATAGGAGAGCATCTCCCTGGCACTGGGTGCCGAGGGGTCTTCTTTGAAACACTTGGTGTTTTTTCTTCGTTTCGATGTTTGATGATGGAGGTGTACCCTCGGCACTCGGTGCCGAAGGGTCTTGACTGAAAGCACGTGGTGTTCTCAATGTTGGTTGTAGATGTTGATGGTGTCCGCCCTCGGCACTTGGTGCCGGAGGGGGTTCTTCTCGTGGTGAGGCCTGGGGCCTGTAGTTAGTATGAGGGCTTGATGTCTTGAATGTATCTTCATTCTTCGAAATTGGAGGCCTTGGGCCATAGGATAGTACATTCACTAGTTATGAGGGCTTGGCCGCTCTTACATTATTGATAAAATTTAACTAAATGGTGTACATTCCAGTGCCTAGGGACTTCCTTCCCATTGGGGCGTTTGAGCTTGTAGGTCCCGGGTTTGATGATGGCTGCTATGATGTAGGGGCCTTCGAATTTTGGTGCCATTTTTCCTCCCTCGGTTGGTAGGCTGGCTTCCCTCCTCCGGAGGACATAGTCCCCCACTTGAAATTCTCGGGTGCGAACTTTGGCGTCGATGTAGCATTTAACTTGCCTTCGGTAGTTTTCTGCCCGGATGAAGGCCTGCTCCCGGCGTTCTGAAATGAGGTGGAGGTCGAGGGCCATGTTGCTGTCGTTGACCTCGGGGTCGTATTGGATCACCCTTCGGGTAGGAAGGGTGACTTCCGTAGGAGCTTTGGCTTCAAAACCGTAGCAGAGGGAGAAGGGTGTTTCACCTGTAGCGCGCCGAGGGGTAGTGCGGTAGGCCCAGAGGATGTTGTGAAGTTCTTCCACCCAGCCACCACCCTCAGCCTCCAGCTTCTTTTTGAGGCCCTCGAGCAAGGTCCGGTTGGCGTTCTCTACCTGCCCGTTGCCTTGAGGGTAGGCAACGGAGGAGAAGGTGTGTTTGATGCCCCATGCCTCCAGAAGGGCACAGAAGGGGGCTGCCTCAAATTGTGTTCCATTGTCGGAGATGATCTGCTGGGGGACGCCAAACCTTGTGAGGATGTTCTTGAGGACGAAGTGACGGCACTTCGCCTCTGTGATGCTGGCGAGGGGTTCAGCCTCCACCCACTTGGTAAAATAGTCGACGGCCATAATGATGTATCTGTTGTTGGAGGTACCCCTCGGCAGAGGGCCCACAAGGTCTATCCCCCATCGAGAAAATGGGACAGAGGTGCTGATGGGGGCGTAGTTGACCGCTGGCCTGCCGGGAGCTTTCTGGAAATGTTGACATGCGGTGCACCTCCGGGCAAGGTCAGCGCAGTCCCTGGCCATGGTTGGCCAGAAGTAGCCCTGGAGAATGAGCCTTCGGGACATGGAGAAGGGTCCCTGGTGAGCTGAGCAAGTGCCACTGTGCACTTCCTCCATTGCGACCTCGGCTTCATCTGGATGAAGGCACCGAAGTAGCGTGCCATTGTAAGATCGTTTGTAGAGCCTCCCATCTTCGATGGTGTAGCTGGGAGCCCTTAGTTTTGCCAGTTTAGCGCGGGCCTCATCCTCGGGTAGCTGCCCTGTGGAAATGAAGGCGGTGATATCTGAGATCCAATCCTCCTGCCGTTGTTGTATGTTCATAACGGGGCTCGCATGGATGCTTGAGAGGCTGAGTTCCTCGATTTTGGCAATTTGGGAGATGTGCTCGGGGGAGTCAGCCGAGAGCTTAGACAATATGTCGGCCTCGGAGTTCTGAGCCCTCGGTATTTGAGTAAGAGAGTGTGCCTCAAATACCTTAAGCAACTCCTTGGCCGCTTCCTTGTACTGTTTCATTCTTCCCTCCTTGGCCTCATATTCTTCGGAGATTTGGCCAACGACCAACTTGGAGTCGTATTTGATGTGGATCTGCCGAGCCCTCATGTTGGCAGCCAGCCGAAGGCCACATAGGAGGGCCTCATATTCGGCCTCATTGTTGGAGACTTTGAAGGAGAAGCGGATTGCATAGTAGGCCCTGAAGCCCTCGGGAGTAATGAGGACTACCCCTCCCCCGCATGCTTTGGTCGCGGAGGAGCCATCAGTGTAGAGGGTCCACCAGTCGTCCGAGGTAGCCGAGGGCTCCCCGTCCGTGGCTGCCCTTGCGGTACATTCCGTCACAAAGTCCGCTAGGGCTTGGCCCTTGATGGCAGGCCTTGGACGGATGTCAATGTTGTACTGGCTCAAGAAGATAGCCCATTTAACCATGCGGGAGGAGCTGGTGGGGCTCCTCATGAGGGCGCCGAGGGGTTGATGAGTGAGGACCTGAACGGGGTGAGCCTGAAAGTAGTGGCCCAACTTCTTGACAGTCCAAACGATGGCCAACACCGTTTTTTCCACAGGGGAGTACCTGAGCTCGGCCTCCCTTAGGGTCTTGCTAACGTAGAAGATGGCATGTTGGATGCCGTCTTCCTCCCTTATGAGTACAGAGCTGATGGCCGCCGGGCTAACCCCGAGGTAGAGGTAGAGGGTCTCCCCTACCTTGGGTTTGGAGAGCACAGGAGGTGAAGATAGATATCTTTTGAGCTCGTCGAAAGCCCCCTGGCATTCTGGAGTCCATAGAAAGCCAGCCGTCTT